AAAATGAATGGAAGATATAACAGAGAGATATTACATTTCAAATTGTAGAAAATTAGGACAGTTAAACTCTAGTCCGGTTAGATTCTTGTTCTTTCCGATAAAGGTAAAGGTAGAATCGGGAATCAGCATCTGTTACTTAGTCATGAAAATTATGATTGTTAATATTTTTTTTCGTAAAGATAGAGGCTGCCTGGCCGGAATTCATAGTTCTTCAAATTAAAGTTAGTAAATATTTTTTATTGTCTCGACGTTTCGACAAAAAATCTTTTGTCTTCGTCAGGAGCGAACAAAAATAAAAACATTTGGCAAAACGTTAAAAATTTTAACGAGAATAATTTTTAACGCTTTGCCAAATTATAAAAAAAGGCATCTCCTTATCGTGCACGATAAGGAGATGCCTTTTTTAAAAATAATTTATGCACCTTATCTCAGTACAATATCACATTTGTACTATTTTTTTAGCTTTGCCAAATGTTTTTATTTTTGTTTGCTCCTGACGAATACAAAAGGTTTTTTGTCGAAACGTCGAGACAATAAAAAATATTTACTGACCGAAGTATCTTTAATTTGAAGAATATTTTTTAAATTATTAACTCTGTCTTTACACACACAACGTTCTAAATGGATGTTAAAAGTAAATTTATTGTGTGGCCATCAAAATGGGAGGAGTCTTTTTAATATCCATATATTCACTTTTAATTTTAATATCCATTTAACGGGTTGGAAGTTTAAAAAATATAAATCTTTCTTGTCTAAAATGTGACACAATATAATAAGGGAAATAAACAATAAAAAGCTTTGTAGAACGACATTTGAAAATTATCCCGCATTTGTTTCTTTTGAACGAAAAATCGAATTTTATTTTAAGAAGAAATAACGATTATTTCTAACCTTAGGGATGAAGTATGAAAGGATGAATTGTGAAGAGTAATGATAAACGGAAAAATAAAAGTGTCCAGGGATGGGAATCGAACCCACAGTTACTTTACTCTTCACAATTCATCCTTTCATACTTCATCCCTAAGGTTAGAAATAATCGTTATTTCTCCTTAAAATAAATTTCGATTTTTCGTTCAAAAGAAACAAATGCGGGATAATTTTCAAATGTTGTTCTACAATCATAAGCCGCATTATATTGTATTATGAATAAAAAGCTTTATTAAGAACTTTTAGTCCTATACAGATTCTCAGAGCACATAGAAATGTAGGGTACATACAGGAATAACAGTAATAGTACCAGTAATCAGCAATGTTATTTACAGTGTATCAAATAAGGGAAAAAAGGAAAGACTTAGCATAAACTTATTTACATATGCAAACTAATATACAAGCAGTCGAGAAAAAGCAGTTCTTTTAATAAAGCAAATGTAAACAGACTTTTCAAATTAAAATTATGTAATAAATAATAGCGTGTCTTATTTGCAACTGGTAATAAATAAATGTAATTTGTGTGAGTTTTAAAATATATTTTAACTATGTATAAAATACAGAATTTATATATTTATTGGAAATATTATTTCGTATTATTCTTTCATTTTAAAAAAGGGAATTCTTGAATATATAAAAGAGTATAAAAAAAAGAATGAAAATAAAATGATATATTTTCACCTATACACACAATGAAGTTTTAATACGTGTTTCCCTTATTTGACCAATATTGTTGACATCATCCGTTGATGTATTGTACCCATGGAGAGTATGTATATATGTTCCATTTATATGTCAATATGTACTATGCAAATAAACGCCTGGAATTAGATTATTTTACCCCTTTCAAACCGCACACTTCGGAAAGAAATCATTTTACGTTTGGAAAAAAATAAATTGTGTCTAACAACATAAATTTTCGGGGGGATGATATTCATGTACAATAAGAGAAGCATCTCTCTCGGTGAAAAAATACATTAAAACAATCCATCTTGTTTTTCAGGGGGTCGGTGGAAGGCTGGTTAAACCGTTTGGTTTTCGACCACTACGACCCGGGTTCGATTCCCGCATTGGACACTTTTTTTCTGTTAAAAAAAAAAAAATGCTCCAATGGCCCCCGATTCTTGCAAAAGTCCAACCCCACTAGCGAGTGCAAGTAACCAAACGGGGCTCTGGCACATTTGTAAGTGCAAAGTCGAACTGCTTTTCACATGTGTAGACATGTGGTGCGCTTACAGTAAAAAGCAGTCGCTAACTACCCACCATGATTATCATGGCCTGTACCACGTGTACTAGAGATAAGCAAAAAAAAAATTAGTTTTTTCAGAACGTGATTGCAATGATAAATAATGTGCCAGATAACCATATTTGGATAATTCAGACAAAGGCCAACCTGTATATACCATGGTTTCGAGCTATGACCCTAATCAGTACATTTCGATTTCCATAACAAAATGCATTTTTAATGCAGTTTTTTAAAATGAAAAGTGCCTCTTTTTGTACAAGAATATTCTGTGAATCTATTATTAAAAAAAACTGTATTGAAAATGTTTAATATTGTCGTTTCTTTCATAACTCTCAGATACAGATATATATAAATATGCCAGCTTAGGCAAATTGTGCCGAAAGCAAGCAACAAAGGTTCGGGCTATGACGGCTTTCAATCAGTACAGGGGCGGCTGCTGGTTCTTAGAATCCTATGATAGAAGTAATGAGATTGGACAAATCTGTCAACAATGTGTTTTAGTTGATGAAGTGGTTGGTAAATACATTGAAAATTGTCTGTAGAATGAAATAAATGTGCAAAAAAATCACACCCATCCTCGTCGCCACTGTTGTGTCTCTACACTACACCAGGTCACCGAGATCCACTAAGTCTGAGATAAAATCTTTATTGGCTCATAACACTAATATGACTGAACTGAACTATTTACAAATTAATGATATATATATACATAAAAATAATTAACATAGTAACACAAACAAACACTATGCAAAACCTTATTTGCATATCACGACAATCCATCTAAACATAACTATTGTTATGCAAAACACCACACTATCTATTTTAACAAAGATGTATATTAGGTGATCATCTCTTTAACAACTTATTCTTCCGATCATTTAACATTTTGATATCGTCAGTCGTCTTTTTTTGAAGGAGACAGAGGAAAATTTGTTCACACTTTGTGATCTCGCGTTTTTTCTGGCGTTTTCTGATATTCCATCAGATTGTGGGAATAAACAATGTATAACTGTTGCACTGATGAGTTAGGTTGGACTTTTGCAACAAGTGAGGGGCAATTAGAAAGCAATTTATTATTTTAAAAAAACTTCCCCAA